AACATATTTTATTTAGAATATTTGTACATGTGTAAATAACAACATAACAATAATTATAGATTTTTGCCGAAAGCAGAAGCTTATAGAAGCCATTATCTAACAATAACAATCTTCAATGTCTGTGGTGGTTGTAATTAACAAGTTACCAAAAAAAAAAAAAACACATTTGATAATGCAAGATTGAAAAAGAAAAATGAAATGTTAATGGTAAGAACAAGATTTTAGTAAGTTTTGACAAAAATTAAGTAAAAAACTACAGAAAACAACTTAAGAAAAAAAACACAAAAAGGACAATAAACAAATAAAGATAAGGACAAGAAAAGAATATAAGCAGCATAGTAGTAGCAGTCAGACATTATATAAATCGTTTCGTAGAATCAATATAAAGTTATACAGACTTGAAAAGCTCTACAGTTTGGTTGTTTGAAAGGGAATTTGAACCCTGCAATAGCAGAGTGTGAGTTATGATCAGGGATCTATCCAGTTGTATGATGTTCCTATAGAGAATATCTCGCATATGTTGATACAAAGGACAGTTTAGAAGAAAATGACACACTGATTCTGTTTGACCACAGGCGCATGTGTTTGATTCGGAAATATTTTTTCGGAAAAGATCATCATTTAAGGAACTACAGCCAAGTCTTAAGCGAGTATGCAGGATTTGAAGTTTGCGAGGCCCTGTGTTAAAATAATTGGGAGGTTTGTGTGGGTTTGAAAGAAGTCGCTTGAATTGTTGTAAAGATTCTGATGATTTTGTATTCTGAGGGAGCGTGTTCCAGGAACGTATGCTAGACGGGATGAGAGAGTTTTGATAAAAGGATGTTCGACAATAGATAGGAGGAATATCAGAGGAGTTTCTGAAGGTGTATCTTTCGTTTTGACGTGTTGGGATTAGAGTGTTTAAGTAAGTGGGACATAAACTATTTCGAATTTTGTAAATAAAGACCAGTTTGTGATTACTACGTCGAGTTGATAATGATTCCCATCCTAGGTCGTCATAAAGTTTTTCAAGAGAACAAAGTTTAGTAGCACCTGTGACTATTATGGCAGCCTCGTTTTGAATCATATCTAATTCATGCTTTTCGCTAGCTGAACAATTATCAAAAAGTATATCTCCATACTCTAATAATGGACGGATAAATGTCAAATATAATGTTTCTAATGTATTTCTGTCGAGTGTAAATTTTAGACTACGGAGAATATTAATCCTTGTCCAAGCTTTGTTTTTAATATATTCTAGATGATTTGACCATGAACAATCGTTTGATAGAACAACTCCTAAATGTTTGTGAGAAGAAGCTTCAGAAATGACTTGGTTTTGCAGAAGTAGGGGAGGATGTTGTGTTTTGATAGCTTTCCGAGATATAGTCATACATATGGTCTTTGCTGGATTAAACGAAACCAGCCATTCTTTAGACCATTGGTTAATCTTTTGTAAATCAGAGTTTAGTACATTTGCTGTTATTTCGGGTGTATTAACGATAAGGAATAAACTTGTGTCATCTGCAAAAAGTCTGATGTTGGCGTCGATATCTATTACAATGTCGTTTATAAATATAAGGAAAAGCAGTGGACCGAGAATGGATCCTTGAGGAACACCAGCCTTGACGTAAAGAAGAGAAGATGATGATCCTTGGACAGTGACTCTTTGCTGCCTATTGAATAAGTAGCTTTGAAACCAAAGAAGTAAATCTCCACGAATTCCAGCAGATGACAATTTAGTTATGAGTCCTTTGTGCCATACCCGATCAAAAGCTTTGCTTATATCACAAAATACAATTCTAATTTCCTTTCCATTGTCTATTGCTTCACGGAAAGAATTATAAATTACTGATAGTTGGTTTATTGTTGAGTCGCCTTGGCGGAAACCAGACTGATATTCTGTTAAAATGTTGTTGCTAATTAGATGATTATATACGTGTTTGTAAACAGCTTTTTCTAAAACTTTGCTTAGGGAACAGAGAAGTGAAATTGGTCTATAATTACTAATTACTTTGGTCTCATTCTTTTTATGAACTGGACATACGTTTGCAACCTTTCATTGAGTAGGAAAAGTACCGATAGACAGAGAATAATTGAAAATATCTGATAAAGGAACAGCTAATTGAGACGATATTTCTTTTAAAACGCGATTGTTTATTAAATCAGGACCAACTGCTTTCCCAAGTGGTAGTGTTCGTAATAATGGTTCGATATCAGATGGTTCAAAGTGAAGTGATGATAGAGTTGAGGAGAAAGAATAAATTGGTGGAATGGGTTGCCAATCAGGTTCGTCAAGAAATGTTTGTTGAGCGAAGAAACGATTGAAGGCGTCCGCCTTTTCCTCGTTGTCATATAGAATATTTGAGTCATTGAGCAGTGGAGGAATAGATCTTATTTGACTATTAGGGGAGATAAACATTTTAACTGTGGCCCACCATGATTTATTAGATGTTTTATTAGTGAGAGTCTGGGTTAATTTGGCTGTATATTCTGATTTAGCATCTCTAATAAGGGAAACTATTTTATTTCTAAGTTGGCGGAATTTCGACCAGTCCGAAGTTCGATTATGGAGCTTAGCTTGTTTGAAAAGACGCTTGCGTTTGCGTATAAGTCGTTTAATTTCACCTGATATCCACTGTGGTTCTGTGGGTCTGATGGTGATTAACCTATTAGGAATATATTGGTTACAAAATTTAAATATGGTAGATGTAAATGCAGAGACCCATTGGTCAATATCAGTGTTACGAATGGTCTGCCAATCAAATTGTTCTACAGAGTATCTCAATGCATTATAATCTCCTCGGTCGTACAGCCATATTTGACGGGAGTGAGTCTGACATTTTGGTTTAGTAAATTTAAAAAGTGCAAAAGTGGGACAATGATAACGAATTTGCTGATCGAAAACTGGTTCACCAACGCCACTAAGTACCAAACTACGTATGTTTTTTAAAAAAATAAGATCTATGACGGATGAAGACGTTTCAGTGAAGTGAGTTGGATCATTGATACATTGAGTAAGCCCACATTGGTTACAAAGGTGTAAAAGTTTTCGCTTGGATGCGGGAATGGCAGGATTGAGGTTAAAGTCGCCAACAATTGTAATGTTTTGAATACCAGAATTAAGTGCAAGGTCAAAAGATTGTTCAATTTTAAGGTCATATTGGGCATCAGAGTTTGGTGGGCGGTAGAAAAGTCCAATAAGCATTTTAAGGTTCCGCTTTAGAATAAGTTCAATCCAAATACATTCAATATCTAAGAATTCTAAGTCATGCCTTCGTACATAAGCTAAATTTTCGTTGACGTATAATATAACACCGCCATATTTGTCATGTCCCATGTCTCTGCGCTCGGGAATATGAAAATTATTTAATAGTAGTGCACTTGTGCTAACTGATGAATGTAACCATGTTTCGCTAAATGCTAATATGTCAAAAGAATCGAACTCTGTCTTGATAATGTCAAGTTTGGGTATTAAGAAGCAACCAAATTGTTAGGAGTAAAAAGTGAAAACGTTGCAAATGTTGTTGTTTGGACCATTGCGACATCACTGGTGTATGCGTTTTGTGGGAAAGCATGGCTTCTTCAAAAACAAAAAACTTAAAAATTTCAAGAATATTCCCTTGCATCCAAGTATCCTGAAATGAGAGAAGAATTGAATTATCAATTATAGCACCCGACTGCGTATCGAATACTACATGATCAAGGAGTACTACATGATATTTTTTTTCGATTTACGTATTGACCGTGCATTTTAAACTATGTTTTTCACGTATTTGCCGTTTCTGTTAAAATAAAAAAAAATGCCTTGATATTCAATCAATATTTCACGTTTGAAGTGAATATTTGTGATGTTGTTTTTTTTTTAAATATAAAAAGGGAGATATTTTAGAAAAAATACCTTTCAGGGTCATCTGTCCTTTAGAAATGCATTAGAACTTTCATGAATATGAAATAAGTATTTTAAGTTTAAAGTGAATATGTTTGAAATTAGCCGTAACCAAAAGGTCAATCAGAGCGAAAACATCTTAGAGAAATAAGGGGAATAACTTTGCAAACTATATCTAGGATTATCTGCCTTTTGATATTGCATCATATGATCATAGTGAACAACTAAACCACGTTTAAAGTAAATTCGGTAGTTTCTGAGAAAATAAATGAAATTACTTAAACCAAATTCTGAGAGTAACAATACCATAATACCTTAAATCTGTTGTCAATCAGGGTAACAAATGAAAATGTTAAACAAAAGAAAAATACTTATCTATTGAGAATTTAGTATCAATTATCCTTTCTAGCCTAAAGATTACATTATATAGTAGCTCAAAACCTCGATTTTTATGTTCGTGAAAGAAACCAAGTTAGAAAAAGATAATTTTTGTGTAATGGCAATTACAATTAAAATAACTATGAGAATGTTAAAAAGTAATAATATTCTACTTTAAACATGATTTTAACATGAATTTACATATTGCGACATTTAACGGTAGTGTTGCGACATTTAACGGTAAGGGAAATTCGTGCGACATTTAACGTTAACATTGCTACATTTAACGGCAAATGATTTAGCGTCAATGGTGCGACATTTAGCGGCAAGTGCGACATTTAGCGGCTTTGCGACATATAACGGCACCACAATGGATCCAGACCAGCCTGCGCATCCGAGCAGTGTGATCAGGATCCATGCTGTTCGCTTACAAACCCTATAACAATTAGAGAAACTGATAGCGAACAGCATGGATCCTGATCACACTGCGCAGACTGGTCTTGATCCATGCTGGTCGCAAACGCATTATGTTGGTTTCGTCATGGCGTTGCTCAATTATGTCAAAGTATTTAATGTGATATTCTAGTAAAGTAGCACTTCACTGCACAAAGTCACTATCACCTGCATAAATCAGTTTCTCTACTTGTTATAGGGTTTGTAAGCGAACAGCGTGGATCCTGATCAGGATGCGCAGGCTGGTCTGGATCCATGCTGGTCGCAAACCCATTATGTTGGTTTTGTCGTGACACGGCTCATTTATGTTTTCTTCTAAGGTTTTGAAAATATTTCAAGTGTGCATATATATGAAACCATTCATGTAAATAACTGTGAATAAATGATATTAAAACAAGGAATAAATTAATCTGGACACGACCGTTTTTTCCCAAAATATTCCCAAAATATATCATTTTTGTAGAATGTGTACATGTATGTTGTCAATGTATATAACTTGATCTGCTCTGCTCAATATAGAGATTCTTTGTAAACAGCAAAAGTACAAGACGTAAATAAAAGGCTTCTTCTTGTTTAATGTCTGTGGGAGTGACCATCGGTGTGGGAGTGGTCTTGAGCCTAGTGATCGTGGGTTGAGTGATCGTGGTCGTGGGCGTGACTGTGATCCTCATGATGGTCATGTGTCTCTGGACTCCAGCCAAACGTACAACACGACTCGTGTTTATATTCGTCATGTACCTGGAAAAATAAGTATTGTTCGTTAATGGTTATATCTATAAAGACTAAAAATTGAATTCTTCATTTTGAGATGAATTTTAAACTAGGGCAAACAAAAGTAAAAAAATAATGAACTCGGTGAGGGTTAATGCATCTCGTTTCTGCTAATGACAAAAATGGGAATGGGAAAAAAAGCAGAGCATCTGTAAATTTGGGATAATTTTAAAAAAAAAAAAAGAAAGCTCAAATTGGTCTGAAATTGTGTACAAATAAATTGATATTACATAGCCAAGATACATATACTTAAAATACATTCTTTAATATTATCTATATGCAAACTATAACATTATATAATCAAAACATTACACCAAATACGAAGCCATTTTATATGCATAATATAACCTTTATGGAGCCATGACCTTAATAAATGTATGCTAATGATCTGAAATTATAAGGTACTATTAATAAATATGATAATATATACCATTATACTTCTACCAAGAATAGAATACTCTCCGAACAGTGTCAGGTGAGTTTCATTCTTCCATGCATCCATAGCACCATTTTTACCAGACTGTAGTGTCCCCAAGTCACCTTCATCACTGAAAAACAACAATAACATAATAAACCTTACTGAGCTAGCGTAAATTAATTTAAATCATACCAAGTTACATGCCCTTGAATTTAAAAAATAGTGCTGATTTCGAGGGCAAATAATTCACAATTAAGGAAGCAATGCCTTATTATTTTCTGCGTTTCATTATGTTGACTTCCTTCCAAGTAATTTCAGGAATTGGTAATTAGTACGTTTTTTTTAATATATTTTTCGTCTGGCCAATTTTCTTTTAAAAATGGCTTATTTTAAAGAATTTACAGTATCGGAACTGAATGAAGGCGGAACAAATGACATTTTTTTTTTAATTTTCCACGTTTATCAATAGTTAACATAAGGTTGGTAAAACTTACGTGTAAGTTATCTGCCCTTAAACCGACCTGAAATAAATAAATAAATACTCAAAACAAAATTTCAAAAAAAAAAAAAAAAAAAAAAAAAAAAAAAATCAGATAAATCTGTGGACCCCAATTATTTTTTCGCTTAAATTGTTTCTGTCATTTTGTTTTAAGGTCATGCAAAATTTTAATGAATGTTACGCAGTTTCCACTATAAGCAGTCCTAGCTTTTAGCAAATAATTTACAACATCTATAAACAGTGGAACCTTTTCTTGTTCCGGTGTTGCCAGATTTCAGTATCTTCTTGCAAAATTTGAGATGATTGCGCTCTTGTTCATACTTCGATCACAAGAGTTATTATAACTGAAAATACATGTACTTGCTTTATCAAATATTATTTCATAAAGAATTCAAAGATTTAAGTCCTTTACACGCCAGTTTACATTGATTTATTTTGAAAACTCCTGATAAGCTAAACACGGAGGTTCACCCTGTTCCAAGCCTATGACTGTTGATAGAATCTGAATTTTTTTCACAATGCTTTTGATTTTGCCCCTCACTTCATCAAACATATCTCTCCATATATTGATATGCTGATCTGCTCAGATAGACATACATTGTCTTCTGATATACCAAACGCTAGACCGATTTTTTTAAAGGCCCATTGATCCTGACCACTAACAACAACAAACAAAAAAAAAACCAAACATTTCTTTTTTCATCTTATAGGGCTATCACTTGTTTAATTCCATTATCTTATTGGTGTATTTTGATTGTATTATGTTCGAGGTAAGTAACACTAGATGTGATATAACGTCATGAAAAGAAGCAAAGCGTAAACAAAAGTGGTATTTTCACTTTCATACAAGATAATTCTTCTAAATACCAAAATGCAAACGTAGCCGAAGATGTGTCAATTTATATGGCCGGGAAATTGCAACAGAACACCAAATATCAAAAGATTTAAAAAATAAAAACAATATTTTTTTTTTAGGGGGAGGGGTGCAGGTGGGGGTGTATGGGGGGCTTAATGTACAAAAACAAAAACATGTTTAGTTTACTCAACAATGACTCACTTATCGTGATAAGGATCGAAATGTCCACCGACATTTGCACAATCGCCATATTGGTGCACGTGGAACTCGAATTCGCTGTTTTCATGTGCCAGTTTATTGTAAAGAAAATGGAAACTACCTGACCGGTCGTGGTCCTAAACAGAATAACAACAATTTATTAAGAAAAAGTGTCCGATATCCCTACTTGTATTAAATGTTAACTCCTAATAGTATACTGATAGTATAAATATGAACACTATAATATTAATGTATATATATAAAAGTATTATTTAAACGTCAAATAGTATGAATGTGAACGTCTGATAGTATAAATGTAAACATCTAATAGTATATATATATATATGTGAACGCCTTAAAAATAAATGTAAACTTATTGTATAAACATTATTTCAGCCGCGTCACGACAAAACCAACATCATTGGTTTGCGACCAGCATGGATCCAGACCAGTCTGCGCATCCGCGCAGTCTGATCAGGATCCATGCTGTTCGCTTACAGACTCTATAGCTAGTAGAGAAACTGATAGCGAACAGCATGGATCATGATCAGACTGCGCGGATGCGCAGGCTGGTCTGGATCCATGCTGGTCGCAAACCCATTATGTTGGTTTGTCGTGACACGGCTCACTTATGATTTTAGGTTATGTTTCACGCCGCACCAACACAATAGAGGTGATATTGCGAATTTTCAGTTTTACTGATGCAGGAAGACGTCAGGCTTTTCTTCGTGCATTAATACAGGTTCGAGCAAGCACCAGAGTAGAGCCACCGATGTTACGTAAGCTAGCTAGAGAGCCTCCACACATTGAAATAATCCAAAGTCTCTGGCGAGATTCGAACCTGCAGTGGTAAGGGACATTTGGTTTAAAATCAACAACCTTAACCTAAAACAAGTATACGCCTACTACTATGTAATGGTGAACCGCGTAGTGAGATGGTTATTGTCAGGTCCTAAATAACATAAATGTAAACGCACGAAAATAATAATAATAATAATAATAATAATAATAATAATTATAATAATAATAATAATCATGATGATGATGATGATGATGATGATGATAATAATAAAGACAATAGATATATGTGTATATACCCCTTGATAGATAGTAACTGTACCGTCCGCAATTTTATCATCCATTCTGCAAAAAGCAACATGGTCGTCTGAAAAGAAGAACAAATCATCCTACCCTATCATTGTTATATATTTCTGTTTCTAATTAGCAAATGAGGGATATTGAACATGTGTGACGGTGATAAGTAAATACGAAGGACGCCTTTTTTAGCTTTTGATTTCAATCACAGAGTTTACGATTTTTATCCTTATAATAATCATTTTTACAATCGACAAAAGTTGACACACAAGCAGACATACAACCCTATTTTAAAAAGCACCCTTCGCCTAAATGAAACTCGAATCTTTCTTGGTAGTGTTTATAGAGAGCCAATGTATCAAAAGTAAACATAAAACATTTTCTAAAAACATCTCTTAAACACGTTTATTTCAATCACTTACGGTGCACGTGGCCCTCTTCGCCATGACTACCATGACCATGGTCATTGTCTGACACGTGTACGTCAACATTCACGTGCGCGTCACCATCGTCATGATGACTATGATCGCCATCAACATGGAAATAGAAATGCACGTTGTTTCCAGGACACGAAGCCGTCCTCGTGAGAAGAACTACCAAAAAATTCTTCTCCAAAGCCTCAACTCTTGACTGTAATGCATCAATGTCAGCGCCTGAAAAAAAAACAAAACAACAACGTGACAATGCCCGCAAAACAAGATTTTCAACAAGAGACACCACAAAAGGACCGCCGCGATATCCACTTTTAAATCGTGTGAATGTAATTATAAAATTTACTTATTGAATATGTCTGTTTCTGTCGTATGTGATGTTTTGTACAAATATAAATATAAATCACATTCCTTAAACTAGTTATACACCATAAAGCCTATTGTTCTATTTTAATAACACTGGGCGTGCCCTAGAGTGCCTAAAAGCAATCTCAGGCACAAGGTCCCCTCTTCAGCTTGTTATAGTCTCAGTTTTCATTACAATATATTTCAGTTTGTTTGTTTAAAATCATTCTTTACTCTAGTTATCTACCAGTAACTATTTAAACTATGTTTTATACTTGATCCTTGGTGGACGAAAACCCATTCTATGTGAGGTCTTTATATAAAATCTACAGATTTTCAAATGTCGCATTAATATTTTGCATAAATTTTTTCTTTGTACTCCGCGACACCTAACATTTCGAAGCGTGGCTCGACAGACATTTTGATAAAATTGCTGTGTACTGTCATGTGTCTAGAAACGACTATTTTGCACTTCGATTTTGTTACCTCACATTGTATTGCGTTTTGTAACGCACAAAAACTGAAGTGAACGGTAATCCAACCTGATATGGATCACCAAAGTGTGTTTTCAATACATACGTTGGTTTCTGGTAATACATTAAGCTAACCATACCAGGTTCGCATCGCATATAAAAAGAATACAATATAAAATTTATTAAATTGATCATAAAAAAATATTACAAGTGTTAATTTATCTACAAACCATCTTTGTTCTTCCCTTTCCTTTTTTTATCCTTTCCAGCCAACACATCTGTCATCAGCATGACAACAAATAGTAAAAGATCTACCAGTCGAGTGAACGCCATCATTAACAATGTTTCACAGAACCTAGCGAGAGAACAATTGAGCCGCGTCATGACAAAACCAACATAGTGGGTTTGCGACAAGCATGGATCCATGCTGTTCGCTATCAGTTTCTCTAATTGTAATAGGGTTTGTAAGCGAACAGCATGGATACTGATCAGACTGCGTGGATGCGCAGGCTGGTCTGGATCCATGCTGGTCGCAAACCCATTATGTTGGTTTTGTCGTGACGCGGCTCAATTATACATGTCAATTATACATAATTCATATTTGAACAGCTGAAGTCAAGTTGATTAGTCTGTACCATCATTAGCCTGCACATCGCTGTAGTCTGATCCGGCAATATACTCAATATACTGTTAATAGTTCAATTATTATATTTTTTGATATTGAAATCCATTGAAAAGTAAATGGGCTGTTCCAATTTCAAAGGTGTAAGCGCCCCATTAAAGCAAAAAGGTACCAAGCGACATTTTGGCCAAAAAAGACTTTTTAACATTGTTCATTATGTTTTAATGTTACCTTTAATCTGTAGAAATAACTCTATAGTATCACGTTTATTTATAGACATATAAGGTTATGTAAAAAGGTACTATGTCAATATTTCCCATTTAGTAATGCAAAAAGGTACCATATGCATATCAGTTTGAGCAAAAAGGTACCAAGTGTCAACATAGTACCTTTTTACATTGTATGACTATATATGTTTTGAGCATTTATTTTAATGCAAAAAGGAACCATGTGTCACATGGTCCCTTTCTGCACACAAAGAATTTACGACCCTTAAGATTATTTTATATATAACATTGTTTGCTTGGTACCTTTTAGCTTTTTAATGAAAATACAATCTAGATGTTGCTAAGGACATCAAATATAAACAATAAATCCCAGAGTATTGTTTCTGTTTTAAATTGAGGAATGATAACAGTGCGAAGATTATGATAGTGTATAAATGACTTCTTCACAAAAATGTGGACGTAAAAAAGAAAAGTAATTGACTGTACTCTTGCCAACAAGATACATGGGTTGTATGGAAGGAGAAGCATGACAGGGAAGCGTACATCTGGCAAATAAACTAGATTATTGATATAGTTAAATTGGTGAAACAGCATAAAGAGCAATTTTTCCTAAATTGAAATCTCATTATACAAGAAAAAATACTGAAAGAAACAATACCTATCTCATGACTATGACTTAAACATTAAAAAGATGTGGAAACTGTAAACTATTGAAAGTGAATAGAAGGAAATAAAACCTGTTAAGCAACATACATATAGGAAGGCAGTAGACACACTAGATGGCACGATCAAGGAACAATACATGGAACATCAAAAAACAGAAAGAAAATTCTCAAGAAGAAAAGATTTAAAATAAAGTTTGAGCAAAAGGTGACACATGCGTTTATGTTGCATGTTGTAACAACCCCTTGCTCATTAGTGAGTGAGCTTTACTATTTAAGAAAACTCCTTATGAGACAAAAATGTTGCAGTCATGTATGGGATAAAACCAACTGCCAAGAGAGGCATGTGAAATAGCTTCCTGCTTAATAAAATACCCTTTTCTACTTGCCAAACTGGTTATGTCAAATAAGTAATATATTTTTCAGATTCATACGGGGGACAAAACAGAAATTATTCATAGCTGCGTCTCTTCTTTTATATTATCACAAGTTCCAGGTTTAAGATTGATCACAAAATTTCTTGTATAGGCTCACTCGCAGATAGAGTGACAACTTGACTCTTGAAGGGGCAAAGAAAATAATTCCTGTATAATTATGTATCATTCAGTCGTGTTCTCTTATATCACTGGCCGGAAAATTACAGCCATACATTGCTGTGCCAATGAAATATAACCATGTTTTTGATTTCAAATACTTTATTAAAAACAGTGTCCAAGACTCAAAACATCCATTGACGGACAAAGAGTAAACTAGCTACAAGTGGAATGGATACAGGTACCAAAGGAAAGCCCAAAGTCAGTATTTGTACATCAGAGCTTTAATGCTGAAGATTTTATGGAAATAGAAGTTCAGAATACAGAATCTAAAGTATTAGTGGACAAATGGTGAACAATATATGAAGTTATGATACCAAACCTCCAGTTTCTATTCAAAAGAAAAATAATTTGGTTACTAGTGTGCAAAGAAAATTATTCAAAAAGAGTTCCATAATTATAATGCCACTTAACCAACATAAAGGAAAGAAAAGGATTATGTCACAATGGAATCAGATGAGAATGATTCTGATTTTTACTAACAATGTAAGAGATTTTGACATAGGCATTGAGATTGGTCACAGAGGAAGACTTTCAAAACATGTAGTGTGATAGTTGTATCAGACATTAACTGAAAAACACAAGAATTTCATATTATTATTTTGTATCCATTGTAGAATAAAATTGTAACCAAATAAATGGTTTTGTTAATATTGTTGGGACAAAAAGGTGCCAACTGCATATGGTAACCTTTTTTGATATATTCGACAACAAATGTTAAAAATCATACAATGCAAAAAGAGGCCAAGCGTTCATATGGTACCTTCTTGCATTTGTCAGTCAAAATATTTATTAGTGCAAAAAGGAACCATTTCCTTTAATTGATTAATTATCACTAATTAGTAATATACAAGCTTTCCAACTATTTGAGCATGTACATTCAAATATTATTTAAATATATGTGAAAATTCTTTGCCATGTTGAAAAAAACCTGATTTGATATGGAACTTCAAATCTTTAAACGCGATTTTCTCGAAAACATGAAAATGTCACTTGGTACCTTTTTGCTTTAATGGGGCGTAAGCATTGCTTACTGAACATATTTATGGTGTGCTGCAAATTCGAACCTATAGCCCTCAGTGTCGAATTCTAAAACATTTTTATCTAGGCTACTGAAAATGCAAGCATGTCTCGGTAATTTTTTTTATCATGCACGTTTCTGTAAAAACCCGTGCATCTTTACAATGGAGTAAACGTATATCAGTTCCTACCTTAGAAACAAAAATAAACCTCAGAGATAAACGAAGAAAGGTCTGTGTCACATTGTATATTATCTATCAATTAATATTTATAAAAAAAATTGGATTTAGAACATGTAAGATGCTTAAAAAAGGCACCGTTAAATTTGATATTATTTGTAATTATAGTAGCAATTTGCTAACAACATGGAATTTTGTCTGTATTTTACTTAATTTTAAGGTAATAGCTGTTATAACTTAACTATTGACCAAAACACCAAAACAAAAGCCGGTTCAGCTACCAGGATAACCAAGAATAAATACAATGTATATCAAAACATGATTGGTGCTAAAAGCGCCTTTAAAATACTTGTAACAATCGGCTGTCAAATAAAAACTACAAACTGTCAAATCCAAACTACATTTGAGCCGCGTCACGACAAAACAAACATAGTGCGTTTGCGACCAGCATGGATCCAGACCAGTCTGCGCATCCGCGCAGTCTGATCAGGATCCATGCTGTTCGCTTACCAACCCTATTACAAGTAGAGAAATTGATAGCGAACAGCAAGGATCCTGATCGGCTGGTCTGGATACATGCTGGTCGCAAACCCACTATGTTGGTTTTGTCGTGACGCGGCTCATTTCATTTCAATTGTCATGTAATACCGGTCGATCTTTTACCTCGAAATATCTGACTTCTGTTGTCTTTTCCGTAAAATTCCAAAGATGTAAAATTAATGTAAATTTATACTTATGAAATAATTTAGGATGGTTTATAAGTCATCCAAGACTTCCGACTATCTTTCATGAAATGAGCCGTGTCACGACAAAACCAACATAGTGCGTTTGCGACCAGCATGGATCCAGACCAGCCTGCGCATCCGCGCAGTCTGATCAGGATACATGCTGTTCGCTTACCAACCCTTTTACAAGTAGAGAAAATGATAGCGAACAGTATGAATCCTGATCAGACTGCGCGGAATTGAAACGTTTGAATTGAATTGAAATAACAATCAGTAAATGTATGTCATGTCATAAACAATTACATGAGTAGTTTTACTTAATGTCTCATGCAACAACAAACAATCTTTAAAGTAGTCATGTACAACCGTTGAAACAAGTTATGCCTATTACACTATAATTACAGCACAAAAAGTCACTTAAGGCCCGTTATGCTCCCAGAAATGCTTTTGTTTTTTACTTCTCAAAAGATTATTTTTAAATTCGCAAATACATAGTAATTCAATATTTTATATGGAATTCAAAATACTACCTTGTCTTTTATTTGGCATTTTTTTTAAACAAATTATTTCGCATTACGTGCTACATTCGTGACGGATAAGAATCTAGTGTTTTCTAAAACCATTATTTAATCTCTAAAGAAGGAAAAATGTATTCTTTTCTGAAAAATAATGTGCATAAAACGATCGTTCAAGAATTTGTAGATAAAAACTTACCTTTAGTTTTGTTATGTAAAACGTTGCCTGGCGACCACTGTCCACAATAAACAGAATATGTCTGGTTATTTTATATGTAAAACGCACACGGATTAATTAGTGATAATTGGAACCACCACTCAGACACGGTTTCAAGTGTTTTACCGTTTCCAACTCCAAAATTTGTCGCTAATGTTTAATTAAGAATGAATGCCTTTTAATGAAACTTATGAATTTTGCGAGCATTGCCCTCTAATGAGGAGGGAAACTTAAAAACTTTAAGACATTATATTATTTGTTTCCAATTAAGAAAGTCAAAGTTCTAAAAAAACTAGGACAAAATGGTTGTAAGGTCAATTTCTACATTAGTGCACATGAAGCAAAACAATTGTAAAATGTTAACAAGGTCATTTATTGTTCGTGAATAGAATTGGACCTATATTATCCATATATCCTTACGATATATATATCCTTATCCATATTCATATTTTCAAAGAAAATTTAATATTATTAGGCAATTTCTCCCTGAATGAATTTATTGTTTTTTTATTTACAAATGTATACGCACCGGAAACGGTAAGTCTGTAGACCTTATTGCTGGACATTGTCTTCTTTTTGCGAAAGCGGACATCATCACTACGGAAATTAGTCATTGCGTCTGCGCTGACAAGGGACAAAGGTCAAAGAACAAATACGTAAGATTAATGCTAGAGATTTTTACATTTTATATTCATTAACTTGAAAACAAAACTGTGAAACTTAAAGCAAGTGTTTGAAATATTTATTAATGAATTCTCTCAGACAGTCTATGTTTGTTTTCAGAATTTTCATCTGCTTTTTTTTCAGAAAGTTTAATTTTGTTGTGACAAAGAATATATTGCTTCCTTTGAAAATTCCCGTCTGTTGACCAGTACATAGTAAAGAAGTCCTGTAGAATACAAACAAAATATCTTTAGAAGTCCTTATATAACAAGCAAAAACTACACATACATGTATGTTATAGATAAACTTTAAATATGAACACAATTTTGGGGTGACTTAAATTGGAGCACTTCACATTGTTAAAGAATTCTTTTCTTGGAAACATCTCAGTTTGAGACTTGTCTGTCTTGTTCCGCCACATAATAAAACTGCTACTACTCTATGTTTACATTGGTTGAATGTTGTAACATACTAGTTTATAGACGGCATGTTTGCCTCTAAGATCCATATTAGTGCTAAGTTTCTGCTACACGCTGAAAAATATTACAATTGCTTTCCTTCAGTTTAATGCACTATGGACAGAAAATAGATGTGGCATAAATGTTGTTGTTCAAATAAGTACCATCATATTAGATTGAGTTTTAAGTCGAACTGACACTGTAGGGGTCATAATTATAGCGATTTTCCAGCGTTACTGGTTGAGGGATACCTAAGGTTCCCCTATGTGCATTATTTCAGCTATGAGTGGCAACTGACGTTCCATAAGCTAGCTTTGCATACTTTGGCATCACGTGTGAAAGTTCACCATACTTATATTCTTAACAATTAGCTGTCTAATGGGTGATCGAGCACCCTTATTCCATTGCCTAAGCTCTTCCACAACTTTGTGACATTTCTCACTCATATTTTTTATAAAACCTTCGAGAGTACACTACGGTTTTAAATTCCTAACATACATGTTTGTTAATAACCTTTCAAACAAAATTAGTGACAAATTTATAACAGAGGTATATAACTATTCCTAAACTTTTAAATCGAATAAGTCACAAAGAATTAATTTACCAGTAGCCTGGTTTAAGACATATCGTACAACGGGAAAACACTTGATCAGTTTCTAATAAATCAAACCTCACCCACTACATACTGATGCCACTTTAAAAACCCTTATTAAATATTTTCAACCACAGTTATGTTTTACAATGTTTTACTTGTTAGTTGTTACAAATGCCTCCGTGGTCGAGGGGTTAGAGTCGATGACTTCTGATTTTATTACCTCTCTGGCGTGGGTTCGATCCCCGGGAGATGCTTTGGTAGTTTAGCGCGGAGGAAGGTCGTCTAGTACTGGTGTAACTCTCCAGGAACGATGGTTAGGAAACTACCCGCCTATATGACTGACATTGGGAAAAGGCGTAAAATGAAACAAACAAACAAACAAAACTTGTTACAAAAGTTATATATACAACATATACAGGTACATTACATCCAAGGAACTTTTAAAGGCATGTGTAAATTAGTATTGCTGTCAAACATCAATATATACATGTATATTTGGTTATTTTATTGCCAAAACTGAAATCTCCTGGGCGGACGGGTGTACCGTGTATCAGTGTCAAAAATAGCATGACCCGAAGTGCTAATTGAGACCTTGACCTCTGACCCAGTGAATGAAAGTTTAATACAGGTAGTCTCAATATGCCCTGCCAGTCTCTGAAATATTGAACCTTTATCAAGCAAAGCCCAGTACTACCTTTCATTGTCTGACTGCATAAGTCATGAAATGTACAACACTTTTTAAAACTCGATATAATATCGTACTTTCGACCTTCCTCCAGCGTGATTTGTTGTTTCGTTATTTCGATTTTTCATTATCGTGGTTTCGACTTTTCATCGTTGTGGGTGTATCGCGATGGTCCTAATGGGACATCGTATATTCACACTTTTCCCAACCGCTGGACAACATTGCACGACACTCCTGTATTATGTATCCATGGTATCTCCTAGGAACCTGATAACATTCAATTATCATCTTGGTCACATTTACAGACATTCCAGTTGATAAAATGTTGAAACAACTTTGTTAAAGCTTAAAATAAGAGATTTACAGAGAGAAATATAGGTGATTTTGTGTGTGTTGTATTGGGCGAAATTTGGCTGTGTAAGTAACTTATATATATTTATCATATATCATAGATATACTATATACGTATCTGATCATGATTTGAATGTAGTAGAAAGTAAACTTCATCAAAATTTGGATGCCTTGTATCGATGGTGAAATTTAAACAAGATGTTAATCCATCCAAATAAAACAAAATGCATGATAGTATGTACGAAACAAAAAAGTAATTATTGTAATGAACTGTCTGTAAGCATTGCCAAGGAAAAATAGAAAAATGTAATAAAAAAAAAATGAAATTATTAGGTGTTTATATATACTTTGTCCTGGAATTACCGAAATGAAGCACTTTTTTCAAAACTAAATTAAAAAATAGCGTTATTGAGGCGTATACAGATGAGTTTAAACAGTTATTTTATAATGCCTATATAATGTCGAATTTTGATTATTGCTGTACTATTTGGAGCAAGGAAATTTAAGGTTTTTAGATAAAGTTGTTATAATTAATAACAAAACAGAGCTGCAAGGATTATTTTAAACCAAGGTGTACTGAAAGAACTTGGTTGGATGTCGTTCAATGAACTGGAATTCTTATCTATAAAGCTTGTAATTACCTAGCCATTTCTTATATATCTGAAATTTTGACTTTTTCCGCCAATAAAATTCACATTTTTTATCTTCATCACATAATGACATAGTTATGCCTAGACACCACACAAACTATGGTATTTTAAAAAGACTTTTTGTTACAATGGCGAATCGGTTAGGAACAGAATACCATTTAATATCCGTTCTCTCTGATAGATATAAAAATCATATCTTACAGATCAAATAAATATCTTCCTAACTCTGTCATTATGTCATTATGTTTAAGAAATAACATCGGCCTGAGAGGGGTATATCGGCTATTAAACACCGGTTTGGAGTTTTGATGCGTATGAATTGACCACGAAGGCCGTAGGCCTGAGTGTTTAATTTTCTCGCATCAATACGACAAAACCGGTGTTAAATAGCCGATATACACCTCTCAGGCCGATGTTATTTCGATTCAATCACGATAAAGTAAGGAAAATCACTAATGTTATTTTTTCAAGCGGAAATAACTTCCGGTGCCGATTTTCGTATAACGCTGTTCGATTTTCGCACCCTACTGTTGCAAAGATATAGAAATTATTAAACAAAATAAATAATAAGAAAAAACGTTATTTTATCAAGTTTTCAACAATAAAATCTTACGTCGTATTGTGTTTACATCAGTGCCCCATTTATCATTCTTGTATAATTAAGAAATAATATATCCCAAACTGTGATTTTATCGCTCAATAACATCACTGTTTGGAGTTCGGATGCGAGGAATTATATCACGAGGGCGTAGCCCGAGTGATATAATGATGCGCATCTGAACGACAAACAGTGATGTTATCCAGCGATAAAATCACCGATTTGGATATATTATTTCGATTCTAACACGACATAAACAAAAAAATGCTGCCATACCTGCTATTAAGCAAAATTGCGCCTTATTTGTTTCCGTACTTATTGTCAGCGCGTCGGATTTTATAGTGGTTACGTCACATGTATAATGATTACGTCACATGTCTAAATATAGAGCGTCAAACAGTGACTCTATTGCATAATAACACACACTTTCGGTTCTTCTATGTTCAATAGGGAAAAATGCGGGTCGTGTTAGAATATGAAATAACGTCAGCTTGTTTATGAATGAGTTGTTTACTAACGATGACGTCATTACGCTTCTTACGGATTGGCGCCGTTTTGTCAAAATATTTATTAACTGATATGGATCAAATATATGGCGTTAGTGTATTTGAGATATTATTTCGGTATTGTATGAAAAGAAAACATTATAAGAACTGAAAATATAAATAAAAATGCTTTTTATTGTTGCTTTAAAAGGCTTTGTAAACTATATAATCGAGGTTGAAAACATAAAAGCCGCATATACAAGTAGTCCCTAACCAATGTTTATTGGCAGTTTAACAGCAGTTTTTTCCCTTCTTTGTCTATAGTGACAAAATCACGTGGATGGATAGAATATATGATATATATATTATTATTATTATTATTATTATTATTATTATTATTATTATTATTAATATTATAATTATTATTATTATCATTATTATAATTATTATTATTGTTATTATTATTATTATTATTATTACAAAAAAGTGTCGCTATCTCTTAGGCGATTAATTCAGTAAACTATATATAGTTTGATGCTGTCAAAATTTGCAGTTAATTATTTTTCTTTAATGTACAAATATATATAATATAAAATGCATGATTTGAGTCTCATCATGCGCGCGCAACTTTCGCAAAAGCAATTGTAATAACGCTAAATTGTAAAATTTGACCCAAAGTAAGTTGTTACAAGCAATGTCAATATATGCATGTTTGTCTGTATTTTCGGGGTATGTGATAAATAGTTAATAAACTTCAAGTAAATTCCGTATTAAATTTATCGATCCGTATAACTTCCATAATTATTACGGATAGTATACTCATTAAGTAGCTCTATTCTCTGTCTGCATATACACTTTTGTATATATTTTCATACAACACGTATACTCAGTTATCATCTCTCTGCATATACACTTTTGTATATATTGTCATACAACACGTATACTCGGTTATCATCTCTCTGCATACACACTTTTGTATATATTGTCATTCAACACGTATACTCGGTTATCATCTCTCTGCATATACACTTTTGTATATATTGTCATACAACACGTATACTCGGTTATCATCTCTCTGCATACACACTTTTGTATATATTGTCATACAACACGTATACTCGGTTATCATCTCTCTGCATATACACTTTTGTATATATTGTCATACAACACGTATACTCGGTTATCATCTCTCTGCATATACACTTTTGTATATATTTTCATACAACACGTATACTCGGTTATCATCTCTCTGCATATACACTTTTGTATATATTTTCATACAACACGTATACTCGGTTATCATCTCTCTGCATATACACTTTTGTATATATTGTCATACAACACGTATACTCGGTTATCATCTCTCTGCATATACACTTTTGTATATATTGTCATACGGGACAAGTGACTGTGATTTGAGCATGTTCATGTTCGCGGGTAACGACTTTAATTTCCTTATGGGTTAATTGCATCTTCTCTAAATAGATACTAGTTGATTTCTTGAAAATCTACTATATGAAAATACATGTTAATCCTTTCTATTTAAGATTTTACCTACATATTACCTCATGTAAAGTTACCGATGGATAAACTGGTGACTGATTTAGTAGTGGACAGTTTTATATCAAAAATTGTTAACATTCCTTCGTTTGATCAGAGAATTAGGGATCTACTTGATTTAGAAGACGTTCCATGCAATGAGAAGCTAACTGGAACAAGTGATGTAACAGAAGATTGTTCGCCGGGTATCGCTGAATCTCAGATTTTACCATCTCTGTCTTCATTGAAATTTGACCAGAAGGAAGAGGAAAAAGATCAAAGCTTTAACAGGGGAGCTGCCAAAAGGAAAAACAGAGATAGATGTGATACCAATTCTATAGATACTGTATCACATTCTGGGGAAAGCTGTAGCGTCCAGCGTGGGAACATGCCACCACCTTCAAAACAATACCGACAAGGTCCTGATGATCAACAACAATCTTTCGATGCCGACATATCGAGTATAAGCGATAAACTTCTATGTGAAACCAAGGTGAACACAGCAATGCCTGCATTAGAAAGTGTCTTCTGCTCTACCCCAGCGTTTGAAAGCAGTCTGAAGAATGTCATGCGTGAATTTGCGTCTGGGCAGCATCTGCAAACGGCAGCGAGTGGTTCTGTGCTTTCTGGAAGTTCTCAGTCCTGCAAAGATGAGATATGTTCTCCAATCTCAATATTTTCTAAATTTGATCATTGCAAGAGCCTAGATGCCGCTTATAGTGATCATGGTACTTATGTTTTTTTATTATTATTATTTATATTTTATGTCAAATCAACGCGAAAATTACATGTTCACAGCTGTTTTGTTAATAGCTTTGAAGTATGAATTCTTAACAATTTATTTAGCCTCCAAAATTGCCATCATTAATTTCTCAAAAACTATTCATTGTTTGATGTATAAGCTACAGCTTGATACGGTAGTAACGGCACCTATTGGCGAAATAGCCAAAGGCTCGCATAGTATAATATTCAACACGTTCAGTAAATTCAGTATTGAACTCACACTCATTCAATATCTTCTATTTATATTTTAGACCGTCGATCTAGTTACTAAAATGTTTGCTTGTATATTTATGAAAATCATATATTTTGATTGAAAAATGTACAGAAGCTGAACATTTGGCTAGAAACATTATGTTTTCATTATACATCTATTATGAATAGTATGAGTTTATTATACAAAGGATATATTACGATGTTGAGTACAATTTTATTGGACAAGTTGCTAGTCGAGTCTGATATATGTGTTGCAACTGTGTACGAGTCCAAAATAATTCAGTATTGTACTCAACAATGAATAATGAGCTCTTAATTTCACACCAACAGTTCTTGACATTTTGACAGGTCCTTGTTACTTCAAAAACAAAAGATAATTTTGGTTCTGAAAATGAATACGAGGCTTTATTGGGTACGTTGATGCACTTGTTGAACTCTGAAATGGAAACGAGGCTAAATTGATAAGATTGGATTGAATTACGATTTCTATTGGAAACTCACGTTGTTCAATTGGTTATACATGTATTTTTAAGGTGTGAAATATTGTAAATCTAGTAAATAATAGATCAGGTGATAAGATTAATATGAAAGACTTGTGGTTATACATATTTAACATTTTAAATGTATATCGCAAGTTAAAGCTTGAGACAATGAAATGTGCCTGCCTGTCACCCCACGGATCGTGGGTTCGAGCCCTACTTGGGTCATGACTATGTTTCCTCATATGACAACAATACTGGAACTGACTTGACAATTTTTCAAATAAGCGTAGGGCAATTTTTCAGGATCAAGCTGAATTAATAGTTAAATAATGTTTAAAATGACAATATACCAATATGTTCTGTCAAATTGGGTTGAATTAGTAATATAATTCAAAAGATTGGTAATTATTATGCTGACAGACCAATAATTGATAATAAAAATTGTTTATGACACAATAAATATAAACTACATAAATTATAAAAAGACTGCCCGTCATTTTTTAAAGACTACCGATACATTCTGAACGATGTGGACATTTCCTTTGGTCTCGTGAATAACATTTGAGCCGCGCCATGACAAAACCAACATAATGCGTTTGCGACCAGCATGGATCCAGACCAGGCTGAGAACCCGCGCTGTCTGATCAGGATCCATGCTGTTCGCTTACAAACCCTATAACAAATAGAGAAACTGATAGCGAACAGCATGGATCCTGATCAGACTGCGCGGAAGCGCCGGCTGGTCTGGATCCATGCTGGTCGCAAACGCATTGTTTTAGTTTTGCCATGGCACGGCTCGTTTATATTAGTTTATTATTATCATATAGATACAGATGACACAGTTGATGTTATAAAAAAACTGGTAAGAGCTCAAGCAATGTATTGTACAGAAACGCCAAAACCTGGCTGTGAAGAATGGGTGGCTTTTCGCAAAAAGCAAGAGGTGAAGAATAAATTTATTTGGTCAACACACTTAGCATTGAGTTCTATATATGAGCTGCGTCATGACAAAACCAATATAGTGGGTTTGAGACCAGCATGGATCCAGACCAACCTGCGCATACGCGCAGTCTGATCAGGATCCATGCTGTTCGCTTACAACTCTGTAACAAGTAGAGAAACTGATAGCGAACAGCATGGATCCTGATCAGACTGCGCGGATGCGCAGGCTGGTCTGGATCCATGCTGGTCGCAAACCCATTATGTTGGTTTTGTCATGACGCGGCTCAATTATAATATTATACTTGTTTATATACCACATCACCGTGATAATATTGCTTTTAGAATACGATTTCTTTTTCTTATAAACCCAAATCATTCTGTATTTTTCCAGAGCTTTTCTTTGTTTACCCTTGTCATATACATGTAGACGCTTCTATTACACAAAGTGGCGTAACACGTCGAATTTTTTCGTACTTATGTGAAATGAATAATCAACTTTAAAACAAATATTAATCTTTGGCGGAAATTAACGAAATATTCGACGGTGTTCAACGAAGATTATGTTATCTGTACAATGTCACAAGTAATCTACGAGTTAACAATTCGAACACTTCGGCAATTCTTCTATGAAGATTGTCGGAATTGCCAAAAAGTTAGAATATATATTTTTTTCTGTAGTCTTAAATGTCCGGCGGCCTTTGACGGAGAGAACGAAAAGTTAATAAAATTATTATTACTATGATTATACAGGACGAGTTCAGACGTAAACAGAGCATTATACCGAAGCCAAATCTTCAAGAAACCGTGAAACTTATGGCGAATAACATCGTTATATGCTGTGAGAAAGTTGTCAGAGAATCTAAGATGTTTTGCAAAAAAATTCCAGGCTTTAAAAATCTAGATATGGAGGACAAAATAGCTTTAATTAAAGGTAAAGTATTATGACAAGTTGTATATTGCTGCTTATTTTTGGAACTTTACATACTTATGACTCTAACCCTGCCAAAACCTGAAAGTGGTTATCCGTTTTCCACACACTATTTCAGTACTAGGTAAGTCTGTGCGTCCGTACACTGATAAATAATTTACTTCAAATTTCATCTTGAAGTCCACGTAATTTTTAATAGTCATACAAAACATAAAACCTGGGCAAGTCCATTTAAGGCATTCATCAAGTTGAGGGATAAATTTATTGGTATAATGTAAAATGTCACTGTTTGTTATGTGTGCATTGTTTCACATAGATCATCATTTGTTACGTGTGCATCGTTTCCATACATCATCATTTGTTATGTGTGCATCGTTTCATATAGATTTTCATTTGTTATGTGTGCATTGTTTAACATATATCACCATTTGTTATGTGTGCATCGTTTCATATAGATATTCATTTGTTATGTTTGAATCGTTTCACATAGATCATCATTAGTTATGTGTGCATCGTTTTACATACATCATCATTTGTTATGTGTGCATTGTTTCACATAGATCATCATTTGTTATGTGTGCATTGTTCACATAGATCATCATTTGTTATGTGTGAATTGTTTCACATAGATCATCATTAGTTATGTGTGCATCGTTTTACATACATCATCATTTGTTATGTGTGCATTGTTCACATAGATCATCATTTGTTATGTGTGCATTGTTCACATAGATCATCATTTGTTATGTGTGCATTGTTCACATAGATCATCATTTGTTATGTGTGCATTGTTTCTCATAGATCATCATTTTTTATGTGTGTATCGTTTCACATAGATCATCATTTTTTATGTGTTCATTGTTTCACATATATCATCATTTGTTATGTGTGTATCGTTTCACATACATCATCATTTGTTATGTGTGCATCGTTTCACATATATCATCATTTGTTATGTGTGTATCGTTTCACATAGATCATCATTTGTTATGTGTGCATCGTTTCACATAGATCATCATTTGTTATGTGTTCATTGTTTCTCATAGATCATCATTTGTTATGTGTGTATCGTTTCACATAGATCATCATTTGTTATGTGTGCATCGTTTCACATATATCATCATTTGTTATGTGTGTATCGTTTCACATAGATCATCATTTGTTATGTGTGCATCGTTTCAAATACATCATCATTTGTTATGTGTTCATTGTTTCTCATAGATCATCATTTGTTATGTGTGTATCGTTTCACATAGATCATCATTTGTTATGTGTTCATTGTTTCTCATAGATCATCATTTGTTATGTGTGTATCGTTTCACATACATCATCATTTGTTATGTGTTCATTGTTTCTCATAGATCATCATTTGTTATGTGTGTATCGTTTCACATACATCATCATTTGTTATGTGTTCATTGTTTCTCATAGATCATCATTTGTTATGTGTGTATCGTTTCTCATAGATCATCATTTGTTATGTGTTCATTGTTTCACATTTATCATCATTTGTTATGTGTTCATTGTTTCTCATAGATCATCATTTTTTATGTGTGTATCGTTTCACATAGATCATCATTTGTTATGTGTTCATTGTTTCACATATATCATCATTTGTTATGTGTGTATCGTTTCACATACATCATCATTTGTTATGTGTGCATCGTTTCACATATATCATCATTTGTTAAATCGTTTCACATATATCATCATTTGTTATGTGTGCATCGTTTCACATACATCATCATTTGTTATGTGTGAATCGTTTCACATAGATCATCATTTGTTATGTGTGCATCGTTTCACATATATCATCATTTGTTATGTGTGAATTGTTTCACATATATTATCATTAGTTATGTGTGTATCGTTTCACATAGATCATCATTTGTTATGTGTGCATCGTTTCACATATATCATCATTTGTTATGTGTGTATCGTTTCGCATACATCATCATTTGTTATGTGTGCATCGTTTTACATATATCATCATTAGTTATGTGTGCATTGTTTCACATATATCATCATTTGTTATGTGTGAATTGTTTCACATATATCATCATTAGTTATGTGTGTATCGTTTCACATACATCATCATTTGTTATGTGTTCATTGTTTCACATAGATCATCATTTGTTATGTGTGCATCGTTTTACATATATCATCATTAGTTATGTGTGCATTGTTTCACATATATCATCATTTGTTATGTGTGCATCGTGTTACATATATCATCATTTGTTAATTTTGCATCGTTTCACATATATCTTCATTTGTTATGTGTGCATCGGTTTACATATATCATCATTAGTTATGTGTGCATTGTTTCACATATATCATCATTTGTTATGTGTGCATCGTGTTACATATATCATCATTTGTTAATTTTGCATCGTTTCACATATATCATCATTAGTTATGTGTGCATCGTTTCACATAGATCATCATTTGTTATGTGTGCATCGTTTTACATATATCATCATTTTTTAATTTTGCATCGTTTCACATATATCATCGTTTGTTATGTGTGCATCGTTTCACATATATCATCATTAGTTATGTGTGCATTGTTTCACATATATCATCATTAGTTATGTGTGCATCGTTTCACATAGATCATCATTTGTTATATGTGCATCAAAAATATCTAGAACCTAGATATTAAGAGTGCAGAAATGTGTAAGAGACCTCTACCAATAGTATTTAATAAAGTCCTAAGGTGGAATTGGACCCGCCCTGAGGTCATTGGTTTTTCTTATACATGAGTACAAATAGAGGGAAAAATTCCTAGAAAAAACTACTATCGCAATACAATGTAGCTATAACTTAAATGTTTGACATGGACTATTGTCAATTAGATATTTGGCAATGGGACAATTAAACTGTACATATACAAGTATACAAAAAGGCAATATTTCAAATATTTCAGAATCTCGACAAGAAACGCAGATACCTAGTTTGATGCGAAGCTACCATACAGAGATGAAAATCGCCTCTCCTGTGCCAGGCTATAATTTTATTGTCGAGGATGTGATGCTTTTGATGCCGGAAAAAGCAGAAGATATGTTTGAATGTGTAAGGGAGCACGCGCAACGAGACATATGGCGAACTATCACTGACGAAGAAGAGGCACTATTAAAAGCCATTGTTTTTACTGATGCCGGTAATGTATTTACATGTATACCACAGTTATAATCCTATTATACATGAGCATACACAACTACTTTCGATTGATAAACACTTTCGAACTGCGCATGCGCAGCTAAAGAGCAACGCGAGAACTATTCTTCAAGATACTTTTTGTAAAAGAATGCATCCATTACGATCGAGCCCATGGCATACCCATTCCAATGCTTTATTTGAATTTATGAAGAATTTAGGCAGGAGAAAATGGAAAGACATTTAAAAATGTAGCAATGTGAAGCACCACAATTAATCAATTGACTTTCTGCTTCAATTGCCCCTAATGGTGTACTGGTATGTCTTGTTTCAACCGTTGATTTTGCTTTTTGCATTTATCTACTTACAGATCGCTGTCCGACTTTAAAGAACAGGGATAAAGTCATCAGGTTACATCGTCATATGATTGCCTGTCTTGAACACTTTCTTAAAACGACGTTCAAGGATGATGCCCCAGCAAGAAAAAGAGAAATAGACTATATGCTTCAGAGTTGCAGATATTTTAGTGTAAGCTTCCATAATTATATGAAGGAAAAACTTCTGCAAATTGCTGGGCATGCGCAGAATCAGACTCTTAATGAAGTGATGTTGTAGGTAGAAGACACGAATTCTCATCAGCAACTACTTGTTCGCAACTTTCACTTTCAGAAAACACTTTATGTCACGCAAATCTTGTTAAACTTGTTAAAACTGGTAAAGTTGCACTGTAAATCATCGCGACACTGACTGAACATTAGCTAACGTTTGATTTTCCAATCACGCATAGTTTATCAAATATTATTATATTGATTATATTAATCAATGAGAGTGTAGCGTATATATGTATGTCCAAGGTTTATTTATTTTTGTGATAGTTTATTACATAGAGTCAATACATTTTATTTAATGTGATTATTCTCTCAAACTTGGTGTTTGAAATTATTTCTTGTCCAATAGGATTGCAGTATTTCAAATGAATCGTGGTTAATCTGCAAACTATGGAAGCCTTGGAGGGTCACTTTTGAGTTTCGACTTATAGATTTATTTTACTATTTTCTTATGACTTTTGATTTATGACTTTTGATTTATGACTTTTGATTTTTGACTTATGGATTTTGTTATTTCCCACGTGCTTGCCATTATAATTATAATTTCCAAGGAAAATATGGTAGAATATGACAACGATTCAGACGAGGTAAGTTCATTTACCTAAGTTTCATGGAGACTTATTAAAAAAAAACAAATGTGGGCTCATATGCAAGAACAGAATGTTATTCTTATATAAGCCTTTTAAATTGATTAAGAAAAGAAAATACTTTGCTTGCATTGCATTGCATTGGGTATCCATTTTTTTATTTTGATGTCCGGAAAAGGGATATATAATCTCAAATTGACATACAGCGTATGAATCAAACGCTTTATTTTTTTATATGGGTTCCAGTTTTAAATCCAAACCAGTCTCGCATTGTTGTTTGCTGCAGTTACAATCGGTTTTCACCCGTAGTTCATTCTTCGTCCATCTAATATTGAATATAGACCAAATTATAGGCCTTATTTTGACAAAGAAATTTATGGTTAAGAAGTTTCATGAAACATGGTATTTCAAAAACAATAAATCATACAGCTTTGAAACCTCACACACTTGTTTAGAACACGCTCTAAGTTAGAAATCTCTGAATTGCATTGTCATAAAATTATGCCTTTTTATCGATTTTTAATTCATGGTTTAGAATTTTCATTAAAAATGGTTTCTAAAACACTATTTTAGCGATTCCTTTGAAACTTAGAACACATATTAAGTGTTGACATCTAAGATCAATGACCAAGTTTCGTATGAGTGGCGCACAATTTGACATACTTATGCCCATTTTTTAAAGCTAAAATGTTTGTCAGATGGTTTATGAAATATGGTCCCATAAACCAGTTATGATATAATATTGAAACTTTATTCACTTGTTCAGTATCAATAACTTAGGTCACATACCAAGTACAAAGTACATGTTATTTGTATATAAACTTTTGTATACAGTTATGTATTTAGATTTTTTGTATTTCATTTTGTATATACATGTATTTCATTTCAATTGAGATAACACATACTTTTAATGTTTTTAGTTTAAATTCTAGTAAAGCTACCTGTAGAAATTAAGGACGTGCTGTCGAATGGTTTCAACTACAAAGCAGTTGCAAGAGCATCAACAATACATATTTGTCAAGTTTTCGGAGCCAGTTTAGAAGACTAAGAGGTTTCATGGCAAAACAGCGTTCGTTCCGAGTGGAAAGTAGTACAGTTTAGCAAATGCAAAATGTCCAAACACTAGTGATTTGGTTTTCTTCGTTATTGTCTATGGAAATATTCAGACATTTTTGGAATACGAGCGTTACCTTTTCACACTTGTTTCGGACGCTCGATAATTTTCAAGTTTTAACCCCACCACTTATTGTGGACGCTTTATTGGAAACACGCAATGTCACGTCCCGCCACGTTTATTTCATACTGTCCATACCTCCAATATGGTACAAAACTTGTATCGATAAACAGGTCATGGTGAGACAGAGAAAAGTGTGCAAAAATCATGAATTCATAATTCTGGCTTTCATAATTTTCAGTATTTGCCCATTGTAAATTTTAAAAGGTATCGAAATCAAACGTTGCATGTTCACATAGCTTGGCGAGGCAGAAAGAAACATACTTCTTGCTATCATAGCTACATTTTAGAAAGTCCCCTTTGTTGTTGATTTTTTTCTTCTTTTTTTTTCATACTTAGATTTTGTTAAACTCATAATTATCTCAAAAACTGTTGGAGGCATCAACTTGAATTTGCTGACAGATATATCTCGCCGAGACAGAGTGCATTGTGTTGTTAACAAAACTTTTGATTATAACATTTAATCGTTCTTCCAAGTTAAACATTCCCTTTTTCGACATGCTGTGGGTTGGGGTATGCTCATAACGAAAGACTATGATATTTCCATTACATATAAAGTCGGTTATTCTTCGAAAAAAAAACGAACTTGTGGACGTTATTTAATATATACAATATACAATGTATACAGTTTCTTAAAGTTAACTAGGAATTTTTTAGCTATAGACTGTGTTTGGTTTTTTTCTCTCTCTCTTTTAAACATTTAGAAATGAAGAAATAACGCTTTGACAATGATTTTAAAAATTTTGAACTCAATAATAATACAGTCACTCTAGCGTTGCTAGTTTACCTAATTTATCTTATGTTTTCAAAAGCTTCGTTAGATTACTCATGATTTTCTTAGTTTTTCATCAGTAACGTATCAACGATGTGTTGTTTTGTAGAAATATTGCATGTATATATGTCTTCTGTGACGTAAATACTTGATGTTTTTGTTGATGGCAGTGTTTATTTTTAGCTGTTCCTTAGTGTTAGCTTTTAAGTAAGGCATGTGTGCTATTTTAGAAAAAAATGCTTACCTCTGTATTTCTTATCTCTGTTTTTCAATTAAATATAATGAAGCTCAAATTCAGTTTGTTATAATTTTGTCTAATACATTTGTTTTCTTATAAGACAACAATTTTGTTAAACAAAATAAAGCACGGTTGTAGAATAAAAAATGTTTGTTGTTATCTGTTTAAACGCATTTATTGCAAACAAGACCGTGAGGTAAAAACCTTTGGTAGTGTGGTCTCTCGGTAGAGGTATATTTATGTAGTCTGTTGAGGGAGTTGGCTGGTTCCACACAGTTTACTTCTATAGTGATCTACTTTGCTCATTTCAACCTCTTACTTATAATTTAATGGAACACTATCTCCACATAGATAAATGAATTCTCTGTAACATTTAAATACTGTTTATTCCGGTGGGAAAATGCAAGTTTATTTTGATTATAACAAAGTTACAATAACACAATAATAATTTGTCAAATGAGAAAAATGTCTTTTTATCATTCAGGACCAGATTAAATATGATAATGTAAATAAGTACAAGTTTGAAATAGAAATCACAAGAGTTTTCAAGTCATATTTGTGTCAAAACCGTTTTCTAAATTTTATTTTATATCTATAAATTTTCTTCCAACGGATAGAAAATTCCGTATTATGTTAGTGACAAATACGGAACCATATATGGAAATGCCGGATTATTTTTGACATTGGTTCCGATCTTAGCTGTGTCTTACGTAGCATTAGGAAACGGGAACCAAAATTATAAGAGGCGTCGCCGGTTTTGCATAAAGTACATATTTCCGTCAGTCATAAATTTATTTTTTATTTTCTGAAATTTCTTATAGAAGTGTAGTTTAATGAAAATCTTTTTTACTAAAAACGAAAAGGTATATAATAAAAATAAAATTATGTTGTAGTAGCTTTCTGAGGCTATGCATTTTTCTACTTGCAACATTGGAAAATTGATATCTCACTCGACCTTCGGTCTCGCAAGATATCAATTTTCCACCGCTGCTTGTAGCAAAATACAAAGCCATAAAAAGCTACTACTACATAATATTCCGTACATACGTATATCTCCTTTATTTTAATGTATAATAATGCCTAACGCTTGTACCCTCTTTAATAGTCAACACGGAAAAATAGCGTACCAGTCAACCGTGACTAACTTCAACAAGGAATTAAATAATCTATTTCAAGATGTAAAATGTTAATAAAAAATTGTAATAAAGCTACACATCTAGAAAATAGCTAAGAACTGTTTAATCTGAATAGAAAATTCTTTATTTATCAAGAATAGTTTATTTAATTTAATACTTAATGCTGCAGACGGCACTTATAAATGAATGTCCCGAATTAAAACTTCAATACATATGATTTCACATTAACAATTGATGTTGATTCTTCACGTAAAAACGATCAACTATGATAAAAACATATGAATGCACTAATTCTAATGCAAAAATGAGGCTGGTGGCTAAATGTACTTGTAAACATCATATGACTTCAACACCACTATCGGCTGATGTGCTCCCTTGCGTTTGGTGATTATATCACAAATTTGCTTATTTTGCATTAATCTTAAATCAAGTAAAACTAATGTTTATACCAAGGCAAAGAGTAACAGCAAATGGCAAAAGTTACAAGTCAAAAGATAAAAGTCATAAGTAAAAAGTGATAAATTATAAGTGAAAAGTCATAAGGCAAAACCTAAAAAAAACACGAGAAAATAAGTCAGCATTTATTACAGAGATCAATTACTATTTTGAAACAACAATCATACATATTCCTTTTAAATACCATAATACATCCTATGAAGTATGGTTGCTATTTGTTGCGAATGAATAAGACGTTTGAATCTAATTACACATACTTGAAATTACACGTATAACTTATATGTCACGGTACGAAACTATTCAGTAGATGATGTGCAATCTCGGTCGGGACAGAGCTAGCCCTGTAAAGGGTTCCGGGTTCGAATCCCGGTATGGCTGCATATCTTTCTCCCTCTGACATTTGGCATAGTGGAAAGTGTCCCTGCCAGTCACGCGGGAGACCGAGGTTCTATTCCTAGTAGTGCAGTTAATCTCGTTATACGTATGCCAAAAACAAAAAAGAAAGACTGCAAGTATTTTACGTAAAAAGTTACAAAATTGCACATACATATATTGTGATGTAAAAACTTTACAAATTAATATTAACAGGCTGCTGAGTTGGAAATCTTTAAAAGGACCATTAACTTGTAAATTAAATGTTTAGATTTGATTTTTTAAATAACTTAAGGAAGATTACCACTACACGTACGCTTTTCGTAAATAATTACATGCAAAGACTGTTTAAGGTATTACCATCCTAATGCATTACCTCCGCTTTGAAGAGTATTTAAATAGGCTAGAACTACTGTTAACTTCATTGAAAATGAGGGCCGTCGGTTCAATCCCCAGAAGGGTCAACTTTTTTTTTTTCTTTCTTTTTTTCTTTTAACATTATTTATGTATCTCTCATGTCCCATTTGGAAAGAAAAAATTGTTTAATTTTGATTTTTTAATTTATATTGGTATTTATTGGCTAAATTATGCTAAATCTAGTAATAAATATAGTTCCTGATATTTTCAAAGTGTAATAAAATCAAAACTAGACGGTAAAAGTATTTCATATTTTACAAGATAAACCAATATACTCTTTGAAAAATTAGGGAAACTTTGAAAACAGGCACTCATTTGGGTAAATTTTAAGGATTTTTTAAATTAGGCTCCCTAAGTTGGAAAATGGTCAGACACGTGGTAAAAATGGGTGGGGTAGGGTAACATTTTTATACAGATTTCATAAATTTTAAGTGGAAACTATAATTTTTGCTTATGTGGATTGTTAGCTGAATTGTACTGTTTGTTTCTTACCAGAAATTAATTTAAAAACATTTTTCATTAGAATGTTATTGCAGATTATTTAAAGGTTCCTCATTTCTCAAAAAAAGGGCCCTCATAACATCCTAGCTGGAGTTCAGAAAAGTGGCCATAACTTGATTTCCGTACGGTAAACTTTGTTTAAATTGTGCATACAGGTGTACTTTAAGGTATATATCTGCCTATGATGTCAATTTTTTAGTTCCTTATAGTGCCCACTA